GAAATTTCACATACCTTACAATGGTCATTTTCTTGATTTCATCCTTGAAGCAGAGAAATCCAATTTTCTCAAAAATGTCATGAAGTATGGAATTTAATGTAAATAACTCATTATAATGTTGTCATTGCTAAGGCAATGCACAATGTTTATAGCCTGAATCTTATGATAGCTCTCAGATTATTCTTGATGGATCCCATACTAGAGAATGACCATCCACTAGAGAAGTTGGTGCAGAAATGTAAATGTGCAAGGACATGGACACATTTAGAAATGTGAAAATCACTTAAGCATTTAAATTAAGGCAAGTTGTGCACAATGATATAGGCTTCTGTTTGGTACTGGAAATGCATTAAAAGGGTATCCAAGACTTTCATAAAAGTCTCAAAGAGAAATTTTCTCTGCCTTGTGCGCACTTCAATGTAACCTGGTCCATCCTGCAGAGCACTGAGCAGTCACATCATGCGTCACTTTACATCCCTAACTATATTGCACGAATGTGTTGAAAACATAAATTTAGAGATTCCAATAATTTAACAAACAGTGGCTGTCTTGTGCTTCAATTGACTTAACTGTTTTGTCAAATCTCTCTGGGACTGTATGCCACAAGTCAACTAGAAATACTGTTTGTAAGTGTTCCATCTGACTGTTACAGTGTACAGCCATATCTTCACTTTTTGGTGTTTGACAGCCCCTGTCTTGAGTGGCTGTATATCCTGTATTAAATGCCCTAGCAGTGTCAAGACTTGCTGACTATCTTGTGTCTGGCAATTGCTTGACAATATCACTCCTCCCCAGGTTTTGAAGTATTTACCAGCAATAAGAGGAATAAGAAGAGAAGAATAAACTATATGTTCCTAATAGAATCCAAAAGAAAGACATGTTATCCACACAACATTCAGCTGCCTTGTTTCCAACCAAACTTAATGAATTTCCACCATGGTATATACAGCATTTGGGTTTCCTTCTTTCTAGCTGAGCTTTGATGCCTTTGTATTTTCCCAACATATTTAATACAGTTCTACAGTTTGAAATGTCAATTCCATTTTATTGGCAGTAATTCAAGGTGACAAGAGTGAGATTCTCACCTGAATAATTAGTGACAGGAAGGAAATTCAGAAATTATTCAACAAGAGTCCATCTATGTAATGTATAATGATAGTAAGCTGATCTATGCAAGACTGATCAGGTGTACTGTCTACACTGACAGAGAAATACTTTGCATCATTAATCTCTTGAGTACTTGCAAGTTTTACTTTATTCCCTATCAGCTTGGTTAGCTCTTGATAGTTACTGGAGGAAAGATATGATGGATTTCCAAACTTAGTGTGATAATCTGACATCAATGGATCAAACTGGGGAATGAGCTCCAAAATTCCAAGATAGTTAGTTTCGATTATGTTGCAAGCCAAGAATCTCATTACCCCCACAAAATGCCAGACTGCATTCAGGAAAGAATATGATAACACAAACAACATGTTTCAACACTTTTTTGCCAGTATTACTGCTTCTGGTTGAGTTGGATTTCCAGCCTCTTGTCCCCTTGTACACCACAGAAGCATACCTAATACATGTTCAAGTGAGAGTACATGCTCTACAACTCTGACAGAAACATGTTTGGGATCATGAAGTTCTGAATGAGACAAAACATTTTTCTTTGCATAAAAAGCAAAATACACAACCTTTAGAAGATTATAAAAGCAATCATTCATAATCAACAATTTCCTCATTTTAAAAATGCTTCTTGAAAAGTGTAAAGTAAGTCTTCTTTGGATTTTCTCTCCAAAACAGCATACCTCTTGCTGCAATTCTGGCAATCAACTGGTTTCCGGGTTCCCATTCTGTCTGGTATATGTGAAGTGGCTTGTCCACTTCCCATTTGGCTAGGTCATTATTGAAGGTGTGTTACAACAGGATCAAGGCTATGAGTGATACTAGATGAGTCAAGTTTATTTTCTACATCAAACAGGCATACTTCTGCTTCAGCAACGGTGTCAGTGGTGTCACTGACAGCTTGAATTGCACTGGCTTTATCTGTTGGTACTGCAAAACAATCATCTTGGAAATATTTAAAACCAAACCTGAAATTTGATAACTTGGACATTTTATTAAGCAAAATTTTTGCTTGCTTTCTTTTCTGTTTTTTGCATTTAGCTGCATCACTCAGTCACTCCATACTTACTATTACATAAATCCTAGCTCTCTCTTTTTGATGCTCAAGTCATACAACATACAATGGAGGAGAAATAAGATGACTAGTTAAGCACGAGCACAATATCAATGTACAGGAGAGATAAACTACTATATGCAAGACCAATAAGGAAAAATTGGAAAATGAAATTAAAGTAACCTAATAAAACAGTTATTAATAAAATTAATATTGTTTATTGACTCCTTCCATACGGATATCATTTTTTGCATGTCACAAGGTTTTACTGAGTTACATTCAAAATTTAATTAAACTACTTTATTATCATGGTATAAAAATAAACTTGGCATCAAATCATGGCTAATAAAAAAATGTATATTATATAAGTTTCAAGTTCTTAATTTTATAAGGAAATATTTTTAAAAAATCCTCAATCTCCCCTAGTATGAGAATTGTGACATTTGCTCCCTAGTTCTTCCCTCTTCTCTAATTTTTTTACCACCCTTCCAAGAAGTATGGAATTTAATGTAAATAACTCATTATAATGTTGTCATTGCTAAGGCAAAGCACAATGTTTATAGCCTGAATCTTATTTGGTTACAGAGCCATAAAGTAGAAAATCAGATCCATTTTGCCTCACCCACTTGTCCCATCCTCTCTTTCAGAAGTTGTCAATAGTTCTGTCTGACATCTATTATATTATTTATAACCAATAGAAAGCAAAAGTTTTAATATATCAAATGATGTATTATATTACATAGTTAGAAAGCTAGAAAAATTATAATAGATATATGAAATTGTCTGCTTTTTATGTGTTATTATTCTGTGTTCTTAGGTACATCATTTGATCAACAGTCAACAGCAAAAAAAAAAAAAAGAGAGAAAACCCAGGTAAATACTATATTCCTTGTTTTTCATATGTATTCTTTATTCATTACTATAAAAGCAACTAGAATGTAAAAATTATAAACTTGCTCGATTAGGTAAAATAAATAAAATAAAAAAAAAAAATTTTACAGGATGCATATTCTCGAGCATCTGATGAGTAGCCCATGCATTATTTAATTCAAAAGAGTAATGTGAGCATGTTCACTGAGTGATTTACAACTTGTGTTGTGGGATTATGAGTTAGACAGTTCAAGGGGCAATAAAGCAATAAAATAGAAATAGATGTATACTGTTATGAGATTAAAGCTATTTAGGATAAACAAATGTAGTTTCCTGTTACAATTTGAAGTCATTCTAGAAAGATAAAAAAGGTATTAAAATTGACTTCAAATTATTTTTTTGGTGGACACGAGGTCAGTCAAATTGACCAATCTTATATAGAATTAGGGTAAAGAAAATAAAATATAAAGTTTTACTGAAAAAGAAAAACACTTCAAATAAATTTCGGAGGTTTTAGTGATTATGCAAGTGCAATTTGACAATTTTCAGATGAAAAAAGTATGTTTAATCTTAGCAAGAAAATTCATTTGGGCTCAGAGTAGTCAGCACTTTAACTCCATATATTCACTGAGAAATGTTTTTGTAAAAATACACAATTAGAATTATAATTTTTTGTCCATAAAAGACTTATAATGTTTACTGAAAGCTGGAGAAATTTCGTGAAGATACACAAAATATATTAGAAGCTATAGTATAGAAACTCTAAAGGTCAATTTGGGGTCACAAACTTGGCTGACCGAGCCCACAGCAAGACAGTTAATATCAAAATGATAACACAATTATACTATACTACTTCTATCAGTTTTAACAAAAATCTAATGCATGTTTTTCATGGGTACTTCTAGAGTTTTGGACCCTGAATAAATTTCCCATTGGATCCCCTCTAAATCTGGCTCTGTACAAATGTAGAATTTAAAGTATATTTTGTTTATTGTAAGCTACTGCTGAATAGAATTTGCACAATATGAGAGTTAAAGAAGAATACAACACACAAAATTATTGCTGAAACTTGTCAACTTCAAAAGCAAGTGTGCTGTTGAAATGTAATCTAATAAAACTTTTGTTGGATATACAAGACTGTTTAGTGTAAGCATTATTATTTAACTTATTTTCTGAGTTCAAATTTACGATTGTTGAGTTTTGCATAACAAGAGAGTTAAAAGCAGTTATTTCAAAGGCATAGTTATGACAAGTTTGGTTATGTAACTCGGTAAGAGTCACACATTGTATTTGCAATTCATTGATGTTGAGGCTACAGAAACTTCTAGAGGCCTCAGTGATAAACATATAAATAGCAGTGACCAAACGAGCAGAAAAGAAGTAAAAGTAAAGTCAAGTGAAAGAGAAGTTCAGTCAGAGAAGTGTTAGAAAATGTGAAGTTAGCCATTGTGGGAGTGAATAGCCTTAATGGTTGATATTTTAAAGTGAGATTAACAGTTTGATAAAGATAAGGAGAATAATTATTGGAAGTTCAGGATACAACATTGGTAACCCACGAGGTAGAGTAAGTGAATTGTGATAAAAGTATAGAAAAATAGTTTGGATTGTCAACTGTATTTTAAAGCAACTGAATTAGCCTAAGTGGACTTTTGACAAGAAAAAGAGAACTGTATAGTGTTTAAGATACAACTCTGAAATCCATAGTGTAAAGAATTTTTGTACATACATTTAACTTGTTTTGAATATATTATTTATTGTTAAGTTCTGACATCTTTCTTTTAAATTCTGTAAACCTTTTCTGGGCAAATTTCGATGAATTGTGTTCAAAGGCCTTATCAATTGTATTGTGATGTTTTATCGTATTCAATCTCCTAAAAATTGAGATACATTAATGTTCTTTCTCAAAACATGAAAATATAAAAATATCCCTGAGAAAAGTAATCAAATAAAAACTAGAAATACACACCCTGAAGCAAGTTTGGCAAAAGTGGTAGAAATTCTTGATAAAGCAAATCATGACTTCCACCCCCTATTGAGCGAAATAATGCTCGCAACAATAGAAAGTAATTGTAGGGCTCTTTAGCACTTAGAGCTAGTTCCATTGACTTGTTGACAATTTCATGCAGATGAGGCTAAAAAGTAAATAAAAGTAGTATGAATATTTGTATAATTTTTACAAGAAATTCTAAGAAGGTATTGACAGAATCACCATTCAAATGAAAGAATTATTCTCTTGCTAGTGTTTCTGATGTTAAAAAAGTAATAACTGCAAAAAAAGCACTATGTATCACTAAGTTATTATAAAGAAGGGAAATCTAAACAAAAATCTTACCTTAAGCATCTGTTCATTTGCAGCAGGAAAGAGTGAGACAGAGCCAAAGACAAGCTTGAAGAGCCGTAAATAGAGATTGGACCTTTCCATATTGGCTAAAAAAATAGTAAAGTTAGTAATACTCAAGATAGGTTCTTGCATTCAAAAATAAACAACAAAAGTTAAAATCTATAAACTTTATTTTTACAAGCTTCGAGGAAAAAAAGCACCTTATACAGCTGTTATAGAATTAAGTTTATAGCAACCCGACTGTACAATTATTATATGATACCACAGAACTTATTTCCAACTGCATTTATTCATTGTATACTCACAGCCCATTTGATCCATTCTTTCAAGTAAATACTCAACCAGAATAGTAGCAAATATTGGAGAAGTTTGAACATTAGCAAGAAAAGAGTTGGCCACAATCTAAACAGAAAATAAATGAATTGAGTGTATTCATCAACCAATGTGCAAAAATTAAGTGACAAAGCTTTTTCTAGTAAATAAATATTCACAAACTGCTTTCAGTTAATAAAAAAAATCAATCATTGAAAAATATATAATGCCTTTCTTTAAAGGTTATCTAAGCAATCAAAACCCAAAGACTTCCCATTCTTTATAATAATAATGATATAAGACAACAATACAATATGCACAAGGTTTGTAGAACCATCATTCCAACTTTTATGTATATAACATTTCAGTACGATTTTTTCTTTAAATAAAAAACAAATTTTCACTACAATATGCAAATTTTCCTATAAACAACACTGGTTAAGTAGACAGTGGACCATGAAATGCACTGGAACCCATTAGATACTTGGTATAGCACAATAATACTCATAAACATAAATATTCTTTTTCAAGAAAATAATATAAAATTTGGAACTAGCTCAAATACTTGTCATAGTCAAAATACTGTAAAAAAACAAACAAACACATACATACATTTTCCAAAGTAAAACCTATGCCCTGATAAACTGTGAAAGCAAGACTGAATAATTAAGCAGCTGCCACATGATGAACAGCAATATGGCTATTTTCTTTAAGTTATAAGATAAGTAACAGTTTATGAGCATAACTAATTTGATTGAGTTCTGGCGTCAGCTTATGAATGGGTAAGTTCTCTTATATATGGAGGCTATGTTCATCACAGGTCCTTTGTAAACTGTTCTTTATCTTATAGCTTCCACATGGTATGAAACAAACAGACACTAATGAAAGAAAGGTGTATTTAAATTTTGTTTAAAGCTATTATTTAATACAGCAAATTACAGCTTCAATTTTTTTTGTAATACTATGTAACAATAAAAGGGATCTTACCTGCAAAGCATAATTCTTGTAGATTCGTTCAACAACATACTAAAATACCAAAAAAAGTTTTATTTTTAGACATGCTATATATAAAAAAATACAACATAACCTACTTGTCTTACTATTAAATCCCCTTGCATGTTTCAGCATGACAACTACTTTTATGAACTTCCTAAACAATATAAAAAATTACTTATGTGTTTCAAGTGAAAGTATCTCATAATGCTCAACATACAAACACAGTATTTATTAATTAAAAATGATCTTGCAAATTCAATTTAATCCTTCACATGTCTATTAAATGTGATTGATGCAAGCGCTTACATGAGTGATATTGAATAATTCCAGCCTTTCTGCCCTGTGAAATATGAAATTGCAAATATTATTGCCATATGCAATGTTTAACATAAAAACTTCTGTCATATTATAAACACTTTTTAAAAAACATGAAACCCAAAGATATTGTTTAACACTTTAATTACAAAAATAAGTTTATTAGTTTTAGCTTTTATGACAAGGTGAATAAAGACATATGATTTGAATTCAAGGATTTTGCTTTATGGTCCCTGCATTTAACCCTTGTGATTTTCTTTGCCCATCCAAGCAGTTAACTTAAGACAATAAGGCTCAATGAAAACAAAAATTAACAAACAGCAGCCTTTTCAGCAAAACAAAACCTGATACAGTTCAGTGCAAAATGATCTAATTATGTCTAACAATTCTCAACCTGATCTTATTCCACAAAAACTTTCATTTTCCTATCATAATTCAAATGAAGTATAACATGGAAAATCACGATTTTTCAAAAGCGTGAAAAAGGTTGTAACTGTAGCAGAAGTTGTTTACAAACATCTTTTCTTCTAGTAACTTATGATGAAGCTAAGCTTTTATCACTTTGTTTTGGTTTCTCCAAGAATTCAAGCTAAACTGGAAGTCAGCTGTTCATCTGTTATTATTGCACAATCATTTTGTAATGCTTCAATGCAATTAGTCAATTCAATATGCTCTGTAAAGTGATATAAATATTCACCTTTTTTTGTTGGCTAGCTTATTTTTATGTAACTTTAAGATATCATGAAAAAATTCATTGATGTGGGAACAATTTTTAAAGTAGTGTTGAAAACCACTGAAACTATACATTTGGTTGCTGTTACTTTAAAACACATTAATAAAATGAAGCCAACATCAATTTAACCCTTTCCAGACGGGTCACGGGTGAAAGGTCATGTCATCGAATTTGTTGACTCGCATTCAAAATTTTATTGAACTTCTATTTCATTAATTTATTTCAGTAAGTTTGGTATCAAACTGTATATTATAATTCAAATTTTAGTATTATATTATGTCATCAAGAAATTAATGTTGCTTTCTTTAGATGAAAAAACCCAAACAACTTATATATCAAAACAAAAAATTTATCAAATGAAATAGTCTCCATTCTTATTGATGATGCTTTTCTATTTTACAATCAGATTGTTAATTCCCTGATCAAATAAATCATTTGGCTTTGAAGAAAACAGATATCGATGTCCTCTTTAACACCTTCCACATTTGCATACATTTTCCCATTAAGATGGTGTTGCAGTAACTAAAAAAGATGATAATCTGATGGTGCCATATCTGTGGAATATGGTGGGTGGGGGAGAACTTCCCAACCCAACTCCATAATCTTATGTTGTGTCAAACATGCCAAATGTGGACATACATTGTCGTAGAGAAGAAGAACACCCTTGCCATTGATGAGTGAAGGGCATTTCTGATGAAGAATTGAGGAGTT